TCAAAAAAGTAAACTCAACCAAATATTATTTTAATTAATAGAATCAATCAACATTCATTTAAAAGTAACCAACAGGGGTTGGCTCAAGTGGTAAGCAGCTTGATGTCCCTTAAGCAAGGTCTCGGGTTCGAGTCCTTGTGGATGCAGAAATCCTTGTTGGGAGACTCACCCACCACTGCTAGATGTGCGACCCGTGTAGACCAACAGATTAGTTGAGACATAGCTCCGGATACTGTGGCTAGCTACAAAAAAAAAAAAAAACATACATTTAAAAGTTCAAAACAAACAAACATAATGTCATTCATTCACTTAAACCATATTTGATTATATTAAATCCACTAAAACAATATATACTCCAAGGTTCTCACTTACATAAGACATTTTGAATTCTTATTTCATTAAGTACTGAACTACTGATTGTCTTCAATTAAACCAAGAAGATAATTAAAACCAAAGACATACTTATTTGGGCCAAAAACATTAAACATTTGGGTAATCCATGCCATTGTGTAGTTTATTAATTTTTATTTTTTGAGGGCTTTTATAGTCTTATATTACAAATAAAAAACAAAATCAGAGAATGAATACTTGATGCTTGAAGCCCACTTAATGCCAAATTTAAAAAATATTGTTAATTATTTACTATAATTATAATATAAATATAATATATATATATATATATATAATAATATTTTGTACGAACTAATCAAACGAGACGGTTCGTGACAAAAACTTTCAAAATCGATACCGACATTGTTTAAAACGGTTCTTTACCGGGAACGGTACAAAAATAAAGAAAATATTTCAGAACCTTATTTTTCGGAACGGGATCATTTCGGTTCAATTCGGTACCAGAAAATTTAATTTTTTGCCCACCCCTAATCCAACTAGAAAATTTCTAGCACGTGAATAGGCAGAAACTATTTTTATTCATTTTACTCGTGCAAAGTGTTATTTCATGACTAGTACCCCATTTACATGGGAATTGCGATGTGATCCTCCAAAATAATTTAAATTATACTCTATTTTTGACTATCAACATCTAAAGTAGGTTACCAAATAAATTATTATGAGAGAGATGTACTATATTGTCTTATTGGTTCCATTATTTCTATAGCAAATTAGAAAATATTTTTTATTATGTATAAATGTACCAAAAATAAATCAGTTCGGTTAAATAATAAACTTTATAAAAATTTGCAAAAAGGAGCTTTGTTCGTCCATTGATATTTGAAAGGAAAATGCTATAAGCCCGATTCCGAATAATTTCATTGAGATTTGTAACTGTTAAATCATCATGTAACCGTCATAAATAATTGATTTAACAGTTATAAATCCCGACAAAATGGTCCGATAGAAACGATAAAATCTGCACAGATAACTACACAATGGCGCCATCATAAATTTAATCGGGTCACGTTCCCTCATAAATTAAAACAGATAGCATACCACAAAAAAAAATGAAATAAATATAAAAACGTGTGGTACAAAATTATATTTGAAAATTTTTTGTGGCTAAAAAAGAAATAAACACAAAAATGAGAAGAGATCAAACGCTGATCAACGGATAGTTATTTCCATTTTAATCACAGCTTTTTACCTAATTTGCACGCTCGTACCCTCACGCGATCGAAGGTAAATATATTCTCTTCTCGCATTTATCTCTCTAGAAATCAAATCCATTTGGAGATCTTGTCACTGTTGTTGGTTCGTATTGGGCTTTTGGATACCGGAATTCTGCCGGAGTTTGTTGCAGGAGGTTGGGTGTTTAAGTTAGGGTTTTTGAGTTGATAGATCCGTGTGCCAGCCTGCGATTTTGATCATCGCTGTTCGAAGTTCAACATGTTTTGGCGTATGGCTGGCCTCTCCACTGCATCACCAGTGAGTGTTCTTTCATTTCTATCATTTGCAAGATTTCGTGATGATATGTATTGTTTGTGGATCCCAATTTGTTGGCGGCCCGTTTATTGTAGTTGTTTGGATTTTGATTGCGCTGTGCGATTGGTGTTTCTTGGGGTTCTTTGAGTTTCAGTGTGTTGGGATTAGGGTCCTGACTATGGTTTTGTATGAATACTGTTTACCGCCGGCAGATATGAGTTTTAGTGATGCTGTGTTGAAGTGGAGTGCGTCAAAGTTTGGAGAAAAACTGACGGTGGTAATTATCAATCAAAACTTAATTAGATTCAAGGCATGTTAAACAGTATCATATTGAACAGTGGCTCACGTGGCGTCATGAAATGGGGGACATTTAAAGAATTAAAGATAGAATGGTCTCTGGTTGCCTTATGGCTAAGACCTTTCACGTAAAGTATGAATTATCTGGTATAAGACAAATATAGTTTGAGGTAATTATTTACATAAGAATAAAGAAAATTTAGAAAATTTGTTACCTAGGTCGGTAATTGTATAATTTTGAGAGCTGTGCTGTTTCAGGTAATATGAGAACTAAGTGCTATGGCACGCCTTACTGAATTGGGCAGGAATTTGAAAATCAGATATCTAATATATTAAGGTTGAAGGAGAATACGTGGTTCCTTTTTATTGTGATGCAAAGTAAATATTACTTTCTTTGTTGGTGTAATTCATGATCTGCTTTATTTAATCGTACATTGGCTCCTTTTTTCCATATTTCTTTATCTCCTGCTAATCTTGTCCATCTTGTTGTATGTGTATGTATGCTCCTTGGGTTAGATGAGTATTTAAGTGCTCTCTGGTCTCATTATAGTTACCTGTTTCGTGAAATAATGATCCATAACTTATTCATATGAACTCTTTAACTGTAACAATGAAGGCATATCTAATAATTCACTATATAATGTTAGTTTTACAAATTGTGTAATCCCAGGTGGAAGCCATTTTGGATAAAGAAAATTTCACTCTGGAGGAGCTGTTGGACGAGGATGAAATAATTCAAGAATGCAAAGCTCTTAATGGCCGTCTTATAAATTTGTAAGATCCTGTTTACTTCTTATGTCTGTTCTGATAATTCAGGGGGAGAAGCATATTTGTTCATTTTTAACTATTTGGATCCATAAGGAGTCTTGGTCAATTCTTTTACCATTACTGCAGTTTGCGTGAAAGAGCAAATGTTGAGCAACTGATTCAGTACATAGTAGAAGAGGCCCCGGAGGATGCTGACAGACAACGTACATTCAAGTAAGTGTGTGTTATGGGTCCTGATGCATGCATGGTGCAGAGTGCTGTCTAGCATATTCCTTTCATTATACTGTGACAGCGTGTTCAAAGCTTATCTGCTGGCAAGTAACCAACTTTCTTTATTCGTGCAGGTTTCCTTTTATTGCTTGTGAGATTTTTACTTGTGAAGTTGATATTATACTCAAAGCTCTGGTAGAGGATGAGGAGGTATGCAGTTGTGGGATTTTCTAAAATTTGTTGGATTTTGTATTTTGAACTTCTTACCTTTGCTCCTGGTTCACAGTTGATGGATCTTCTGTTCTCCTTTTTGGTGTCTGAGCGTCCCCATAGTACTCAACTGGCTGGTTATTTCAGTAAGGTATGATTATTGCTGGTTTCATGGCTAAGTTAGATTTGTTGTTTCAGTACCTGAAATTAACCATACATTAAGGCTAAATAGAGTTCTCTTGAAAGTAACATATATGCATGCAAAATATACTTCTGAGTTTTAACGGCAGTTGCTCCTTGTAATTTTATTTCCTCAGTTTTTAGGCATCTGAGCTATCTTCGTTTCTTTCGTTTTATTTTTATTTTTTCTTTTTTTTCTTAGGCTTAAGCAACATGCGATTCATTTGAAGTCGATTTTGTTTTCCAGTCTGACCATTTTATGATGGCTCCTTCATATTTTCGTTTCTCCATTTTCGTTTTTGATTATGTTCCTAATTATTCAGAATTACTCCTCTTGTTGTCTTAAGAATGCACTAACAAATAGCTTGGCCCTAGGTATAAATTCTATAGTAATGGACCTAGAATGAAAGCTATTTTGAGCTTTCATCTAAAATTTATCCCATAATTGGAGTACATGCTGATGTAATTATTGTTGTTTGTGTTGTGATTCTGCCTGGTATTTGATAGTATTTCTTATGTGCCAGGTTGTCGTTTGCCTCTTGCTGCGGAAAACAACTCCTCTGATGAATTACATACAAGTGAGTTTGATACTATCGGATAATCAGTTCTTGTACTATTTTCATCTGACTTGTGCAATACTTATGATACATTATCTGGATATATCCTTAGACTTATGAAGGTGTGTGTGATGGTTGAGGCCACCGGAAATTGAGTTAGAAGTAACTTTCTCCTACCAATTAATCAATCCAACCCAATATTTTAGGAAACTGAGTGTATCGCATTTTATGATGTCATTGTTAAAATGTATTTCTGATATTGCAATTGAAAAAAGAAGTTATGTTTTTTTATTAATATCAAGGTACAAAAGCTTAATGTTTCATAATGTTGTGCATTTGTCGTTTAGTTAAGCTCTGTATGTTAAAATTGTGGGAAGGACTATATGTATTTTGCTTTAAAAAAATTCTCTAGTATATAATTTCAAGTAGCTTGAAGTTGGTCGAGATGTTGGTTATATGTACCTCTTAGCTATTCATATATTGAATGGTTGGTTTTTTTCTTATCTCCATTGGTTCAATGTTCATTAAATGCTTGTACAGGTTCATCGGGAAATTATTAAAAGGCTTGTTGACTTAATTGGAATTACATCTGTAATGGAGGTGTGTTGTCCAAACTCCAATTACCCACTTTCCTTCCCAGTTTCTTTGAATATGTGTATTTTTTTAAAAATCATAATAAATTTCTTGTGATCAGGTTTTGATTCGTCTAATTGGCGCTGACGAACATATTTACACGAACTGTCCAGACTCTATGCAGTGGTTGGAAGATATGAATGTGCTGGAGATGATTGTTGACAAATTCAGTTCATCTGTAAGTTGCAGTTAGCATATAATCCTGGAATGAGGATTTCATTTTCGTAATACTGAAGCCCTTGCTTCTTTTTAAGGGCCTTCCACTTATTTTGAGTGGAATGGTTCAAGACAAGGTTTATTGTTCTTATACTTGCAGCTGCAGGCATGGAATTATTTTTTGTAGCTTCCAAATATCTACCAATCTATCCTTTTCAGCAAACTATGTATTCATCTGGGTCTGCATGTTTTATACCTGTGTGCTGGTCTAGATGACCAAGCTTTTGATAGGCGATAGAATTTTGAAAACGAAATTCCCAAAGTCTGTCCTTATGACAAATTTCATGCCTTCTATTCTTAATGAGTTCCGAGTGCTATGCAGACATTTTTATTTCTTTATTTGCAGGACTGTCCTGAAGTACATGCTAATGCTGCAGAAACGTTATGTGCAATAACAAGATACGCTCCACCTGGGATAGCTTCAAGAATCTCCGGCTCAAGGTTGCATTAGTTATCCCTGTGTTGAAATCTCCTTCTTTGTACTACTTGTCCCCTTTTTCTCCCTTATCATGATCAAGATCTGGTTGCTGTTGCAGTTTTATAGAGAGATTGTTTTGCCATGTTCTGGAGGGTTCGAGGCCAAAGTCAGTTTTGGTGAACTTGTTATCAGTCTGCATATCCTTGTTAGACCCCAAGAGATTGACCTCTGGGACATATTACTTGTATGCCCGCCAAATGACACATGAATCAGGTATTTCGGCTAATCCTGAGACTGTTCAAGCCATGCTGGAGAGTCTAGGTAAGCTCTTTCTTTCTTTCTTTATTAATTATTGTATTTTTTCAGTTCAGAGTGGATGACAGTGCACCTTAATTAATAACGTTAAAGATAAAAGTAGTTTGCTGGAGTATTCTTAGTAGTCTTTTCTTCTTCTTCTTCTTCTTCTTCTTCTTCTTTTTTTTTTTTTTTTTTTTTTTTTTTTTTTTTTTTTTTTTTTTTTTTTTTTTTTTTTTTTTGTTTAGGCATATCACTTCTGTCTCACTGAATTGTCGTGAGCAAATCAAGTTTTTATGCTGTAGTCCCATTAAATATTGTTGGGGCAGTGGTAGCTAGAACTTATCAACTGGTTAAGTATTTCAAGTTTAAGATTATTTTATATGATAAAGCTGTGAAATCCATGCTTGAGGGTACAAATAAATTTACTTTGGTGTAACGTTTTCATAATTATCATATTAGTTATGATCAAAATCTTTCAGTGGATTTGGATGATGCGATGAAGTGTTTTGCTGTTCAGGTGATCTGCTCAAGCTTTTGGATATTTCATCTGAGGATCATGTCTTGCTTACTACATACGGAAAATTGCAGCCTCCTTTAGGAAAGCATCGATTGAAGGTTTATTAATGCATTTCCAGCACCTAATTATTAGTGCTTCTGCTCTTAAATTCTTATGTGTTATGCAGGTTTTCATTTTTTTAATCTTCTGCGAAATTCCTATGCATTTCTTCTTGCGATAAACTCTGTTATGCGATAAATTTATAAATATTATGGAACCAAAATCTGATTGCAAACTTTGATGGATGTCCCAGATTATAGAGTTCATCTCAGTCTTGGTGGCTGTGAGTAGCGAAGTTGCAGAAAAGGAATTGATTCGCCTGGGTGCTGTGAAGCGTATTCTTGAGTTGTTTTTTGAGTATGTTGCCTCCATTTTGGCTCTTAATGTTATTTTCACTTCATATAGAAGCTAACCTTTTCCTCTTAGGTATCCATTCAATAATTTCCTGCATGATCATGTGGAGCGTATTGTTACAACTTGCCTGGATAGCAAGAATCCTAAGTTTGTTGACCATCTTTTACATGAATGTAATCTTATTGGGAGAATTCTTGAAGCAGAGAGAAACTTCACTTTGACAGTTGATACAAGCAAGGTACTTGTCACTCACCTATAATTTGAGATGATTGTATAATTTTTGTAAATTGCCACATGTATGTCTGCATATTACGTTTTTTATTCTTGTTTTATGTGATCTAGGGTCATAAAATTTTAATCGTGCTAGGATCAATTTGTTTTGATGCATTTTGCAGCCTACTATTGCTGCTGAGGGAAGATCACCACCCAGGATAGGGATTTTTGGTCACTTAACCCGTATTGCTAATAAACTTGTTCAATTAGCGAATAGCAACAGTGAGATTCAAACATATTTACAGGTATTGCTGATAATTACTTATTTTCTGCTGGCTACGTTTTATATCATCTTTTCCTTGGTATAGTGTCTTTAACAGTTGCACTCTTTCGCAGTGAGTCTTTCAGCCATGTCTATATTTATTCTAAACAAGTTTGTTGCCTATCTTTTGATTTGCAGGAGAATAGTGATTGGGTTGATTGGCAAACCAATGTGTTGCTTAAGCGAAATACTGTGGAAAATGTCTTTCAATGGGCATGCGGGTTGGTGTTATAAAGTTTGACTCTCTACATCCTTGATTCACGTGCACGAACTTTGTCTTGACTCACGTGCATGAACTTTGTCTTGATTCAGTGCATGAACTTTGTTGACTCATGTGTCCATGGTGGTTTCAACAATAAGGGCCCAGATGCTCATGCACAGACCAATTGAGTGTTTTGCAATCTGTGATATGTTATAGTCAAGCTACATAATTTTATCTGATTCCGTGCTATTTGGGTAGAGCCAGAGTTCTGTTCTTGAGAGGTTAATGAAGGCACAAGGCTTCTTTTATTATGAAAACTGAAAATCTTGGCTTTGATACACTTCAGTAGATTCGTAAAATAATCCTTAATTAGGACGAATATTAGTTCATGGGCAGAAGTGGTATAATAAGTGATTTGGGTGGCCTTGCTTTTTTTCTTTTAGTAGTGAGGGTGACAAAGTAAAGATCTATCCTGCCATGGCTACTTCCATTTTGATTTTATTTTGAATGGCTAGAGTATTTCTGAGTGCATGTTCCGTTTGCCTGAAACTCTTTTTGCATTTCCTATTTTGTATAATGGAGATGACATTCGTATTTATTTTTCAGGAGGCCCACGGCTCTACTGGATCGGACACGAGACAGCGATGAAGATGACTATCAGGACAGGGATTATGATGTTGCAGCATTGGCAAATAACTTGAGCCAGGCTTTCCGATATGGAATTTACAGTAATGATGATATCGAGGAGGTTCGTTCTTTTGTGATTTCTTTATTAGGTTCTACAATCATATTTGTTGTGTTACCGGAAGATTGGGAGGTTGATAGAAAGGTGGAAAGGATAAAGATACCTTCTTGCTTTATTACTTTAAGTGTTGTTTGCTCTTGTATTTAATCAATACTTTTTTCTTACACTTTTTTCTTCAGGCCCATGGTTCCCTTGAGCGTGGTGATGAGGTATAAGCATTTACATAAATTCTCGCGCAATTTAGAGAATTCGGCAGCCAATTACATCTGATTTGAGTGATTTTCTTTCAATAATATCATCATATATTAAATTTTAGATTTTATGTAGCTCAGATGCCAATACGATAATTTCCTTGAATGACCTCTCCAGGACGTTTACTTTGATGATGAATCTGCTGAAGTCGTTATTTCTTCCCTTCGTCTGGGCAATGAACCGGAAAGGTTAGTGTATACCCTTGCGTGGTGTGTTTATTTTCTTAACCCATTGTTGGCCTTTCATATTTATCAAAAGCTATTCGTATTTCATTTCAGATTTCTAAAGGCTTTTTATGACTTCAGAAATCATAGTGTATTTAATTTAGACTTTTTAAGTCTTTTTAAAAGTCTCTGATTCATTTGAGATTTTTAAAAAGTCCCACAAAATCCCGAGGTGCTTAATTTATTTGAGACTGGCTTGTAAGATTTGTTGGGATTTAAAAGAAAAAATCATATACGAAATCCTACTCTAAATCCCACCTCCAGACTTGAGATTTCATAAGACTTAGGAATCTTAAATCTGAATATCTTAAAAAGTCTCAAATTTCAAAATGTCACTGGAAATCCCAAACGAATGCACCCCTTACTAGTTCCTACACATCATGATTGCTCGACTTCTGTTATCATCATGTTTACAGCGGATCTCTTTTTACAAACTCCGATTGGTTTGCTTTCGAGGATGAGAAAACCGCCGATTACGAGCACCCATCCGACCCAAATGCTTCCTTGTCCCCTGAAGCTGGTGGTGCCCACGAGGGTGCCAAAGAAACAGATAGAGATGTGGTGGCTGTTCGGGAAGACGAGGATTTAGCAGATACAGCCACTTCCGAGAGTCCGGACGAGAAACCCGACTCAGGCGGGGCCACAGTTTCTGACAAGCCACCTGAGTGGGTCGAGTGGAGGGAAAGCTCACATTCGATCGAGTTCCCTCCTAACTCGAATTCTACTACCACTGCTACTACTACTAACACGAATGCTCTAGATCAGGAGGTTGTACCTTTTTCCAATGGGGAGGTACAAATGGAGTTAGGTGAACCCGAGCTTGTTGAACCACCTAAACCGGCTGCATCGGGTAGTGTTGAGATTATTGATAGTGGAGGGCCACCTGTTCTCTTGGGTGCAAAACCTTCAGAATCTACAGAAGTGGGTGAAAAAGACAAGGCACTGGAAAACTGATTTTATTGGGAGGAGTGTAAATTCTTTACAGATAGGTGAAAAATATAGCACTTTTATTGATGCAGCTGGAGGATTATCGAGCCCGGGAAGATGGTGCTGGTAACAAGGTACAACCATGTTGATCGTCTTTCTTTCCTTTTTTTCTTTTTTTTTTTTTTTTTTTTTT